AGAGAGAGAGCACAAGCAGGGGAAGCAGCAGGCAGAGCGAGAGGGAGACTCCCCACTGAGCAAGGAGCCCGGCGCGGGACCTGATCCCAGAACTCTGGGATCATGACCTGAGCCGAAGGCAGAAGCTTAACCGACTGAGCCACCCAGGCATCCCTTCACTCAGAATTTTAGAGAAGGCTATGAGAGACACATCTTCAATGAGAAAAAATTGGTAGGAAAAAAACCCTGAAAAGTGAAGAAGAAAAAAACCCTATCTGTTCCTTTAAAACATTTGGGTATTTTTTTCTCCCACCTTTTTTGGATTCATATGTACATACACTGTTATGATCATGTATTCACTTAATTTTTAAAGTTTTTATTTATTTAAGTAATCCCTACACCCAGTGTGGGGCTCGAACTCACAACCCTGAGATCAAGTCACATACTGCTCTTACTGAGCTGGCCAAGTGCCCCAATCATGTATTCACTTAAACACAAATAGTGTACTCCTTTATATGCAACTTATGAATCACTGAACTCTACTTCTGAAACTAATAATATACTATATGTTAAGTAATTGATTTTAAATAAAATTAAATTAAAAAAAAAAAAACAGCGTACTCTTTGTGTAGCCTGTGCTTATGTTTAAAAATTTTAACAAGGTTAACAGTACCATTTTGTGTTAATAAATCTGAGACATGATATGAATGTGCTATCATTTATCATCCTAATTATTAGGTTGTTTATAGTTGTTTTTAATTATAAATGTGCTTTTCACTTTTATTTTTATTATTTTTTCAAGTAATCTCTACACCCAACGTGGGGTTCAAACTCACCACCCTGAAATCAAGAGCCACATGCTCTATCGACTGAGCCAGCCAGGCGCCCCTTACTTTTTCAATTTTAAAAGTCATATTCTGGGGGGCACCTGGGTGGCTCAGTCGTTAAGCGTCTGCCTTCGGCTCAGGTCATGATCCCAGAGTCCTGGGATTGAGCCCTGCATCAGGCTCCCTGCTCAGCAGGAAGCCTGCTTCTCCCTCTCCCACTCCCCCTGCTTGTGTTCCCTCTCACTGTGTCTCTCTCTGTCAAATAAATAAAATCTTAAAAAAAAATAAAATAATAAATAAAAGTCATATTCTGGGGCCCCTGGGTGGCTCAGTCGTTTAGGGTCTGCCTTTGGCTCAGGTCATGATCCCAGGGTCCTAGGATCGAGTCCTGCATCTGGCTCCTTGCTCAGTGAGGAGCCTGCTTCTCCCTCTGCCTGCCACTTCCCTTACTTGTGCCCTCTCTCTCTCTCTTTCTCTCTCTGACAAATAAATAAAATCTTTTAAATAAATTAATTAAATAAATGTCATATTCCAATTTCAGTTTGGTGCCGGTATGTTGAGCAAATAATTCATATTAGTGTATGTGCATATGTTTGTTGGGAAATAATCTTCCTTGTGCATTTTTTATTCTCTTTCCATTCTTCATATGTATCTTTTCAGATTGGTTTACTTTTGCAGTATAGCTCATGCAAAGTTACTTAATGAAACTAATATAACTCTTCTTTCCTTCTGCCACGTCAGTTGGATGTACTGTTTATCTCTGATGGCCAAGCAGCTCCCCTGTCTGGAAATGTTTTCATGTGTTCAGATTCCACTGCTTTTGTGAATTTTAGTCTGTAAAGGGTAACCTTGGCAGAGCCATGGCAAGGACTAATGGAGACTTAGTGAATATTGGTTTGTAGCGAGTGGATATTTGCTTTCCCCAGTGAAACTAATGAACTAATCGTGATTGGAGGTGTTCATTCCCTATCTTGTGTACTTTTTTTTTTTTTCTGTCCAGGAAGAGACTTCATCCGAAAGTTGCCTTTAAATCTGTGTGTTGTACACTGTAGGAAATGCCTGGCAGAAGGTTCTCAGTTGCCCTGGCTCTGAGTGTATGGAAACACTATGTAGAGAGAAGAAAACTGCTCATTAGTAGGTGATGTGGGTGATTTCATGGTGAAAGTCTAATATATTAAACCTTGGCGAGGTAAAGCAGAAAAGCTTTATCCTTGCTACTCGAGAGTGGTGTAAGAGTCTTAGATGTCGGCTTCGTTAGGTTTAGCTCAGGCTCTTGGGAACGGCAGGAATTAGAGTTATGCATTTTCAGTTTCTCTGCAGAGACCACGTATGTGATATTACTAAGGGAAAATGACCCATACCAACAACAACAAAAACCTGCAAAATGTTTATATTTTTGCAAGTCAACACTTTTTCTTCAATCCATTGTTCCTTCTTTAAAGGACTCAGACAAATTAAGTGATTATGATAGATCCTGTAACTGGGAGAATCTCTTTGTTTGGGGTGAACGAAATCAATATGAGAAGCTCTTGGAATGGCCTTCCCCCACCCCCTCCTCTTCAGCAGCTCCTTGTATGTGGGCTTAGAAATGCTGGTTCTACATGGAGAATGTGCATGCTGATACATGCCGAGGCCCAGCCTCGTTAGGCTCCAAACTTCTCCCTGAGTGTCTTTGGTGCCAGTGTGTGTTACATAGATTTAGAAAAGATGGCGATTGGTTAAGTACAGAAATTTAGTTGTACATTTTTCATTAGGTAGACTTAGTTTGTAAACATTCGTGTGTCAGTGCATTTTAAAAAGTGGATTAACTTAAATTTAAGATCAACAAGAAATTAAAAAAAAAAAAGAAAAACAAGAAATAAAAGCCAGTACTGAGTTAAGTGCTGTGATAACAACTTTTCAAAGTCTGGATTTCCATCTTCTCAGTGATGCTAACTCTGAGCATTTCATTTAACATTGTAACTTCCCTGCAGCATTCCCAGTGCTTTTTCCTGGCTCTGCCCCCCTCCCCCATACCAGGTAATCACTTTCTAAAACACACTGTATCTATTGTTTTGTATCTACTGCTATCCGTCTCCCCTGCCGGAATGTATCTTTCTTGAGGGGAGAGCTCTTTGTCACTTTACTTCACTGGTAGATGTCAGACACCTTGAACAGGGCTTAACACACACTAAGTCCTCAATAAATACTTGGGTGAAGAAGTACCATCATCATCATTGTCTTTACAGTGTGACAGTTTTATAGTTTTCTTTTTTTTTTTAAGATTTTATCCATTTCTTTGACAGAGAGAAACACAGCAAGAGGGGGAACACAAGCAGGGGGAGTGGGAGAGGGAGAAGCAGGCTTCCCGCGGAGCAGGGAGCCCGATGTGGGACTCGATCCCAGGACCTGGGATCATGACCTGAGCCGAAGGCAGACGCTTAACGACTGAGCTACCCAGGCGCCCCAGTTTTACAATTTTTTAAGCTTTTATTTATTTGAGAGAGAGAGAGAGAGAGAGAGATAGCAAGAGACAGCACAAACGGGGTCAGGGAGAGGGGGAAGCAGGCTCCCTGCTTAGCAAGGAGCTCGATGCGGGACTTGATGCGGCACTCAATCTCAGGACCCCGGGATCATGACCTGAGCCGATGGTAGACGCTTAACCGACTGAGCCACCCAGGCGCCCCAAGTGTAACAGTTTTAAACCAAGCTTATATTGGGACAGTAAAACACTTGATAAATATTTTTTCTTAAGAAGAATTGAAATTCTGAGCTTTGAAAGAAGACTGAGAGTTCTACAGTCTTTAAGAGCTTACTTCCTTCTTGTAGGTGAGCATTTTAAAAATACGGACAGATCCTCTCTAACACCTGTCAGTAGACCAGAAGAAGCTTCTTTGCTCTCAACAGGAACAACAGGGTGTCTTTTTAGGATCTTAAGTTGTAGAAATAACAAAATGGTCTGCATCCTTTCATGGGCATAGAGCTTGTCCCTCTCCACCTGCTCTCTGCCCATATTTCAAAGCCAAGCAGCCTTCCCTTTCTGAGGTCTAATAAATGTGTTCAGTATTGGGAGAACACAGGAGGATCTTGGATCTCATCTTCTTGGTCCTATAAAAATATGGAGCCTGACTCATCATGAATGAGACCAGTAATTCTCAGCCACTCAGGCTTACTCTTTACACCTTTTTTGGTTAAAAAAATTATATCTGCCTACATATATATATATATGTACATGTACTTGTGTATATGTATATCTATATAGAGAATGCTTTAAAGTTTTTGATCTTTTTTTGGGTGCCTGGGTGGCTCAGTTGGTTGAGCGACTGCCTTCGGCTCAGGTCATGATCCTGGAGTCCCGGGATTGAGTCCCGCATCGGGCTTCCTGCTCGGCAGGGAGTCTGCTTCTCCCTCTGACCCTCCTCCCTCTCATGCTCTCTGTCTCTCATTCTCTCTCTCTCAAATAAATAAATAAAATCTTTAAAAAAAAAAAAGTTTTTGATCTTTTGAATTGCATGTTTTTTTTTGTTGTTGTTAAGAATATTTTTTTTAAGAAATAAGCCTAGTGCATCATGGTACTTCATGGTGTGTTGGAGAAATAAAGGCAATTAATAGCCTCAGATTCCATTTAGATTTGTAAGAATCCCAGTGGTACTCAGGAAGATACTAGAATGTATGGGGTACCAACCATATGCCAGGCTGGGTGCTAAGTGCTTTATATACCTTGTCTTATTTATTTACTCCATCACCAGCCCCAAGCAGTGGGTATTATCTTCTTTATTTTACATATGAGGAGATTAAGGCTCAAAGTGGACAAGCCACATCTGTAAGGAAACACAGCTAGCAAGTGGCAGACCTGGATGTCAGGTGTGTCTGATTCCGGATTGGTCTATCTACCATATCATGTAGCTTCTACAAAATGGTACTAATTATTAAGACTGATAGTTTCTTTATTTTTTTTTAAGATTTTATTTATTTATTTGACAGAGAGAGACAGCCAGCGAGAGCAGGACACAAGCAGGGGGAGTGGGAGAGGGAGAAGCAGGCTTCCCGCTGAGCAGGGAGCCCCATACGGGGCTCGATCCCAGGACCTGGGATCATGACCTGAGCTGAAGGCAGATGCTTAACAACTGAACCACCCAGGCACTCCAAGACTGATAGTTTCTTTAAAAAGTGAAATACAAACTAGAAAAAAAAAAGATTACCAGTTTCTTTTTAATAAAAGAGCTCTATTTCAAAACTATCTTCATCGCTTTCAGGTCCTCATGAACAGTATTCTTTTGACCAACTACAACAGATTTTCTGTAAGAAACCCTCTTATTCTGCACAATCTGCCTCTGTCATGTCTAACTTACTGATTGTTCTTCCTAACAAAAATAACTCATCTTATGTTTTTTACTATAAGACTACTGAGCTGGCCTAAGGTGCAGTCATGTTCGTCCCAGCGTGTTGTCCTCCTGTTAATTACTTGCTCACTTTTTCTTTCTCTCTTTCCTTCCTCATTTACATCATAGATTCAACCTGTTCTGTTCTGTTCTGTTGCCTGGTGCTGATGAAGACAGTGGGGCTCTAACAGTGAACAAAATAGGTGAGGTGCCTGTCCCTATGGAGCTTGTAATTAGTGGAAGAACAGACAATAAACCAACCAACATTGTGTGATTGTGTGTGTGTGTGTGTGTGTGTGTGTGTGTGTGTGTGAGTGCTAACCCATGGTACGTGCAAAGCGGAAAAATAAGGCCAGATCTGGGGATCAAGAATGGGGAGGACTAGAGTCGCGGATTTAGATGGAGTAGTTAGATAAGACCCCTCAGAGAAAGTGACTGGGAACAGCAGTTGAACAAAATGAGGGGAAAGCTTTTAGGTAGAAGCACTTCAGATCCTAGAGTTGGGAATGTGCTCCATACCTTTGATAGTCAGCAAGGAGGTTGGTGCAGCTGGGCCAGGGGGAGGAAGAAGGGTGTGCTAGAGAAATGGGATGGGCTCTGGAGCTGGGTGGTGTGGGGCCTGGTGGTGCGGGGGTAAGGACCTGAATTCTAGGAGTGATGGAAATTCACTGGAAAGATGCCAGCAGGGAGTAGTGTGATCTGATAGAGGATTGCCAAGGGCCGCTTTCGCGCGCGGACAGGGCAACAGTTGCAGCCATGACTAGATGTTGATGATGACCTCAGTCGGTGACATCCTTGTTTGGATTCCTGCTAACTGCCAGACAGTGGGGCAAATTATTTACATTGATCATCACATTTCATCCTTACAGTAAACCTGTCTGAAAGGTACCTTCAGAAGCTCTTTGTTGTAGCTGAGGAGCTTGAGATTGGGACATGTTAAATAAGTTGCCCCAAATTATGGAGTGTTAGTAGAGCCCAGTGGAGAGCAAGAGAAAACACAGGATTCAAACCCAGGCAGTTTGATTCAAGATCTAGAACTTTTATTTTTATTTATTTATTTATTTTAGAGATGTCATTTATTTATTTGACAGAGAGAGACACAGCGAGAGAGAGAACACAAGCAGGGGGAGTGGGAGAGGGAGAGGGAGAAGCAGGCTCCCCGTGGAGCAGGGAGCCCGATGTGGGGCTCGATCCCAGGACCCTGGGATCATGACCTGAGCCAAAGGCAGATGCTTAACGACTTAGCCACCCAGGCGCCCAAGACCTAGAACTTTAACCACTGTGTTATACTGTGAATCTGATGGGCGAAATGATAATGTTAGTACTGTAATCTATGCAGATTATGGGCTAACTAGGGGTTTTTTAATGGGTTGGAATCTTTTAGACTTATTCTATGAGAAAATCCTTGCTGAGTTTTATACCACTTCAACTATGGACTTTGGAAGTGCAATCCATTCATTAACTGGGGAATACCTGTATTTCCCTACATCTTGGATTCAACGCTTTAGAAGAAACAGTGCCAAACTGTGTTTTCTCCAAAAGATGGTCGTAGTGCAGGACCTGAACAACAGGTCATCTGAAGGACAGCTCTAGGAGCTGGAAAAGTTTAATTTGGAAGAGGGAAGCTTTTAAAATGCAGCAAAGGCTTCTCATTGCTAAAATGTTAAAACCATAAACCCCATTATGATCTCAACACCCCTAAATAAGCATCTCTTCCTATGTGATCAGATCCAGGCTTCTGGCTTTAAATTACATTCACACTCTGATGACTTCCAAATTTATATCTCTAAGACCCAGGCTCTACATTCATTGCTGCTCCACATCTTCGCTTGGTGTCTCACATGCATCTCGGACTTACCATGAGCTCCCTTTTACTGCCATAGATTGGTTGATGCCCGGTCTTCCCAGCTCAGGATGGCACCACCATCCATCTGCTTGCTCAGACCCCAGACCTCACCATTATATTTGATTCTTCATTTTGTAAAAAGACTCCACTTTCAGTTACCAGGCTGTCCTCTTCTTTCTGCTTTCACTCACCTCTCCGCACCACTACTCAGACCTCTTTAACTAACCCTCCTCCCTCCTGATCGCTCCAGGCTCACAAACATGTCAGGGATTTGCATGGAACCCCTCTGCCCACCCGCAGATATTCTCACTTCCTTCAGGCCTATGGAGCGGGAATAATGGACCTCCAAGAATGTCTACACCCTAGTCCCCAGACCTGTCACCTCTGTGCAGAAGGGGCGTCATAGATGTGGTTAAGGTTACGGAGGCTATTTTGGATTATCTGGCTGAGCCCAGCATCATCACGTGAGTCCTTAAAAGTGGAAGAAGAAGCATAAAAGCAGATCAGAGAACACCTGAGAAGGACTGCTGGCTTTGAAGATGGAGAAAGGGGGCCATGAGCCAAAGAATGCAGGCAGCTTCTAGAAGCTGGGAGCTGTGTACTCAGCTGACAGCCAGCAAGGAAACCAAGACCCCAGTCCTGTAACCACAAGGAAATGGAAACCTTTTCTCCCAGTGAACCCCCAAAGGGAATGCAGCCCCACCAGTACCTTGATTTTAGCCCCACGAGACTTGAAGCAGAGAAGCCAGCCAAGTACACTGGACTCCTCACCCCTACAAATATGAGAGAAGAAATGGAGCGCTGTGTTTGTATAACAGGAAGAGAAAACTCATACAAGTTCTCTACTCAGATAGGACTTTATCTGTAAGACCTTGCCTGACCACCCCACATAACAGCCATTCCCGCTCTCATCCAGGCCCTCTCTGTCCTCATTACCTGGATCTGTTTTCCTTGGTAGCACTTACCAGCCAATCTGCATTTACCTGTGTGATTGTCTGTGTCCCTCTTCCATTTAAATGTAAATAAGCTTTGTTGGGGATCTTAGGGTCCGTTACTGTTGCATCTCCAGGGACTAGAATGGAGCCTGACACATGCTAGGTAATTGTCCTTGTCGAGCCGTTGAATGGAGCTCAGTGTCTTCTGTCCAGCCTCTAACAGATGCTGACCTTCCATGTTGGCTACACTGCACTCAGCTGCTCCCTCCTGTCACCGGCTGCTTCAGGGCCTTTGCACTTGCTCTCTCTAGCATCCCCTTCCTCTTTGCCTACCTTTCCTCTAGGTCTGTTCAGAAACATCAGCTCTTGAAGGAAAGCTTCCCGGATTCCTGAGAGTAGATCCTATTTTCCCTTAATGCACATAGATAGATTTTTAAAAATACGTGATTTATATTGAGTACAGCTCAGATAGCTTTTTATACTTTGCCTTTATAGTTTGTATCATACGTCAGAATTATATATTGTTTTGGCTACTTTGTTAATTGCTTTCTTTCTAGTGTTCAGGCACCATAAAGGCTAGGATGAGGGGTTTGCTTGCCACTATTTCTATAGCTAGTTGATGGTGGACTGTGGAACCAGACTATGTGAGTTTATAAATCCACTCCATGGTTTGGTTTCCTTGCATTTTGAGTGGGAATAATAATAGTACCTACCTCATAGGGTTTCTTGTAGGTTAAGCCATTTGATAAAGGAAAGTGCCTTAGTGCACAGTACATAGGAAGCACTCAAAAATGTTAGGGGCACCCGGCTGGCTCGGTAGAGCATGCAACTCTTAATCTTGGGGTCTCGAATTGGGCATGGAGCCTCCTGAAAATAAAAATAAATTAATAAAAGAGCAACATTAAAAAGATGTTAGCTGCTGCTATTGTATTGTTATTAATACAGAGCATAGCAAAGTGCTTGGCATAGAAAATGTCCAGTAAATATTTGAGGGATTACATAAATGAATTTTGTATGGTCTTGATGTTTGTGTTAAAAAATGAGTAATTGTCATTTATTACATTTACTCCAGTAGGACTTTAGAAGGCAGAATTAGATAAAATTTAGATAAAATTTTTCTAATTATAACAATAATGTATGTGTGCTCTAATGAAAAAATGTAGATTATAGAGAAAATTATAATAATTTGTAATTCTATCTCTCAGGCATCCATTTGACTGATGTCCTTTGTCATCTGTTATGTATATTTTATATAGTCAACAGCTTTGTATGGATAAAATATTTTCTCCTGCTTTTTCAATTAGTGTATATTATAAATGCTTCCTTATAACAGTGTTGTAGGTTCTTCTTGGTGATTTTTTTCTCCAAAAAAAAAGTCCAGTTTATTTGGGGCATATAATACATATAATATGAAATAGTTGATAGGAGTACATTTGCTGAAATTTAGAGAATATGACTGCACTTTAAATAATAAGATTATGCCATTTAGATGATCTGTTTAAGGGGAAGGTATGGAAGACAGTGATGCCTAAAGCTGCAGAAGGCTCTGGAGTGGAGGCTGGATGGACCCTAGGATGGGACACCTGGGCCTGGAAAGGCTCACTTGTGAGTTCAAGCACTAGGGTAGGTGAGCATGCTCTGTGCAGTTGGTGCCTCGAGTAGGGAGGACCTAGGACGGAGTTGTCTGTGATTGGCTACAGGACAGCTTTGGAACACAAGATGGGTTGATGGGTTGGGGCAGATTGTGGAGGATTTTGGAGGCAGATGGAAGAGTTGCTTCTTTTTGTAGAAGCTATGAGCTTGTGATAAGGAGATGCAATTTATAGATAAATAATTTGAGGGAAGTATGATGGATTCTTTTTGTTCTTCTATATATGACAAGCTGTTTCAACCACAAGTCTCTTCCTCAAGCAAAACCCATGAAGAAGGCTGTCCTCAAATGCTCATGAAGACCATTCTGTGCTTCCTGCTGGACACTTTGTTGCCCCACTTCGTAATTAGCAATTATTCCTTCCATTTCAAAGCATCTCAGAAAGCACCAAGACGTTTATTATCCCACAAACTAATACAGTGTCACATCCTTTTATTATTCTTATTTTATTAATGGAGATATTATGGTTCCAGGATATTTAGAGATTTGCCCAAGTAGTGCAGATAAAATTTATCTCTTTTCCTTCTTTCAAAGCAGGATATAAAAGAGAATAATAGAGCTTATAAAGCATCTGTCTTTCAGAATGCTTAATTGTTTAACATAATATTTGATGTATTGTCACAACAGTTCCAGTAAGCAAAGAACCATCACTATTCACTTTCTACAGAAAGTCTAAGTCAAAGTTATATGATATCAAAACTAATGAAAAACTGTGTTAGCCAATCAACATGTATGACCTGGTGTATTTGAGTACATTTTTCCCCTCACCCT